GTCGACCTCCATCCCCAACGGACAGGCAGACCTGCAAAAATGCTCAACCCTTCATCATATCTGAGAGGGCACTCCCAACGAAGCCTTTCGAAATATTCAGCTTTCTTTCCCCCCGATAATACCTCTGCAAACAAGCTATACTAGAGCAAGAATATCTCATATCATCAGGGTTAAAAGCAAGAGTATCCCATATCATGCTTTTTCCCTGTCTTTTCCTTTGGCCTTGTTTTTACCTGCAAGACAAGGAGAAAGAGAGCAATCAGTCAGCACTTGGAATCAAGCTTCCAGCCAGGAACTGACTGCCTGGAACCCCTTACCTGATTACTTACCTGGCATTGCTCTCGAGTACTCATCTTCAACATCTTATGTTTCCAAGGAAGATTCCGCATCTGCTTGAGGAACAGATAGGGCAAGTGCGAAGGATACAAGGAAGCATGTGGAGACAAGCGTAACAGCACACGTGCCGATACATCCATTACTCTGTCAAAAGCAAAAGTATCCCATATCAGCAGGGTGGAACGTACTCTAGATTTGATGGACTTGTTTTGACCCTCAAATTCTTCAGTCGGCCTTATACTCTGGAGGAAACCAGAAAACCCTCCAGCTCAGTTCAAGAATAAGCCTGTGGAAAGTTACTTCTTCAAAAGCAAAAGTATCTCATATCATCTCTTCTCATTTTTCTTCTCTTTATCCTTCATGCTGCCTGCAAGATGGGGAGAAGGTGAACAATCAGTCGGAGCTCTGATTGCTTACCTTGTCTGTCACCTCTTTCAGCAGACCCCCTAGCTCGGCGACTTGGGGGACTCCTACTACATGGTTTGTATCGCGCTTGACCAAGCCTGAAACTACAAGTAAGCTTCAAGTGAAATTGATACATTACCTTGTGCATCTCCACCAGTTAAAGATACCACCCCTGGATGGAGGAAAAGTACTTCCAGAGAAGATGCCACATCTACCTATGAGACAGATAAGGCAAGTCAAGACGACACCACACTCCGATACTTAGAAGTTTCGTGATTACGAGATCATTCTCCCACAATATTTCCTAATGTCATTTGTACTAAATCATTCACTTGTACTCACTAAAGGAGAGCTTGAACCTATGTACTTGTGTAAACCCTTCACAATTAATGAGAACTCTTCTATTCCGTGGACGTAGCCAATCTGGGTGAACCACGTACATCTTGTGTTTGCTTTCCTATCTCTATCCATTTATATACTTATCCACACTAATGACCGGAGCAATCTAGCGAAGATCACAAAAAGCGACCGTTTTCGCTACCTAGGATCTATCTTGCAAGAGAACGGAGAATTAGATGGAATCTCAACCATAGAATACGAGCTGGATGGATGAAGTGTAAGAGCGCATCCGGCGTGTTGTGTGACCGTCGTAGGCCACTGAAGCTCAAGGGAAAATTTTATAGGATGGCAATAAGGCCAGCGATGTTGTATGGCACAGAATGTTGGGCGGGTGAAGCATCAACACGTACACAAAATGGGGGTGTAGCGGAGATGAGGATGCTTCGTGGGATGTGTGGGCACACGAGAAAGGATAAGATTGGGAATGAGGATATCCGAGGTAAAGTAGGAGTAGCCGAAATTGTAGGAAAGATGAGAGAAAATCGGCTCCGGTGATTTGGACATGTGCAAAGAAGGCCGACTGACACTCCGGTTCGAAGATGTGACTACGGGACAGAGGTTCAGGGCCGAAGGGGTAGAGGAAGACCTAGGAAAACTTTGGAAGAGACTCTAAGAAAAGACTTAGAGTACTTGGATCTAACGGATGACATGACACAAAACCGAGCACAATGGCGTTCTAGGATTCATATAGCCGACCCCACTTAGTGGGAAAAGGCTTTGTTGTTGTTGTTGTTGTTGTATATAGCAAGAGTTTGTCAAATTAGATTTCCAAAATCGAATTGCATTCTATGTGAGATGGAAGTCAATATGAATTCAATTCCACTGCAGAAGATTCAGTGATGCTCAGTTGTCTGACTCCTACTTTTGCATACTTTGTGTTTCAGGTTGGCATTGTAAACAAGTCGTTCATATCTTCGATGAGAAAGGTTTGGTTTCAATCCAGTGTAGTTTGTTTGATAATCGTACTTCGTTTGCAATGACAGAATCATATTAGCAAATATATGATGTGTGAGTTTGTAAACACGAGCTTACAACCATAGATGTGTGTAATATATAGATCCCTTCTTTATGTCATAGGAGGCCTCCCACTGAACCTAAAGTACAAGTTTTTATCTGCAACCCTATGCACGAACAAGAGTCTAAAGAAATGAGGGATTAAAACTCTTAAATAATCAGGTTTCTGTTCAATTCAGAGCTTATAGAAATTTTTGGTAGAATTTCCAGCAGCCTTTGGTGCGATTATCCCAAATCTAAATGGCTTAAGCTCTTGCGAATGGTGGTTAAACCAACAAACTTATTGATTGTATCAGAGTAGGAGATTGAGTTCGGGTCCCTGCAACTGGAATATTTAAGCATAAGTTGAACTTCGTATATTAGGCTTTAGACTTTAGCGGTACAAATAGAATATGAAAGCGTAACGTCAAAAGGGTCTAGTTGGAACCTCCTAAGATAAGTTGAATTTGACATGTTGGACTGTAAAGGCAAACCAACAACCTTTATCATTTCATCAGAGCAGTCAAAACATCCACATTTTAAAGTCAGTTCTCCACGTGCGCTCAATATTATTACCCATTATAATTTATGTTTGGCTTATTCAGCCTTACATAAGGGAATGTGTTGAGAATATTAAATTCAAAATATTGTTCAAATGGAAGGACTGGCTTCACCCTTGCTCTTGAGTTCTTGAACATCTCATTAGTTGAGCTTTGAAGGCAGCTCCTTTTAAGCATTAGGTGTTTGGGGTTTGAGAGAAATTGGAAGACCTTTGTTGGGAGGGACAGTTTCGGTCTTAATTTCCTGTTATCGATTCTTGCTGTTGACCCTCATGTTTCTTTTTTCATTCTAGGGTGCCCTTCTGGTAAATATTGCCCGAGGGGGTCTCCTGGACTATGAAGCTGTTTCGTATAGCCTAGAGTCTGGCCACTTAGGTGGTTTAGGGATTGATGTTGCTTGGACGGAGCCATTTGATCCTGACGATCCAATTTTGAAGTTCAACAATGTTATCATCACACCTCATGTGGCAGGAGTTACAGAGTATTCTTACAGATCCATGGCCAAGGTGAGCAACCATTGACAAAACAGAATCAGCTCGCTCATTTTTAGTTACACTACACTACTGTATGTCCAACAGCGCCATCATCTAGTGATCAACTTGTCTGAATCAACTATACTAGGCTACACCTTGCTATCAATACCTCCGGTGTCACATATGTCAATACCTCTGTTAGATGAGACAAGACGTGTATATAGGGATTGGTGATGGATATACACATCTTCTCTTTGATTATTTGGCTACTATTTTTGGTGTGGTCTTCATGCACAACCAAGTGACAGGATAATTCTTTTCCTCTACTGTCATTTGGGCTCGTTTGGTACGCATGATTGGATTGGAATGGAGAACACTCGAATTTCAAGGTATACTGAAGGTGGAAGTGAATGGTTTTTCATTTGGAGGGGATTAGAAGTGGATTAGCTATGAAGTAAAATCATCCCATCTAATCCTACCATTCTAAGGAGCATTGGAATGGATAAGTTTTCTTCATAAGTACTCCATCTTCTATCCTCGAAGCGGTCATGATTTTATCATTTCTCCTGTCAACATACCTTTAATTTAGTAGGTTATCCATTCCAATCCAATCAGGTGCACCAAATGAGCCCGTTGTGTCTTGGTCGATGCTTCTTAGGTTATAGTATGATCAGGATCTTTGTGAGCTTAGTTTGCAACCGTCGAAGATTATAGCTTCCTTTGAATCCAATGCTTATGATACGTATGTTGTCTCATCGGAGCCTGACTACATTTTGTGGTGTGGTGGCTCAACAAATGCAGGTAGTTGGCGATGTCGCCATTCAACTTCATGAAGGGAAGCCTTTGACAGGAATTGAGTTTGTCAACTGAATCAGTTTAGTGAATATGGTTGATATTTTATCGCCAAGCTTTTGATTTGGACATCCATTTAAGGAGAGATTTTTGAGTGCCCGGAGCTGCCCTACACCACGTGTTATTGTACCGTTAGAGGGAGAATAAATTGGAGGGAATTTGTCCCTTAAAATGATCGCTTATCGATTTTCTACGTTCGTAGTTTACTTGATATTTTCCGTAAGTTATTAAAATACATTTCATTTTTTTTTTCATTAATCGTTTAGGACTAACTCCTCACCGTGGAGTGAAATTGTATCGTATGTTAGTTAGAGAGGTTGGGAGACTACTACAATCTATAGATTCCCCATCTATATTTTCTTCCACCTTCCTCCCCTTCCTTCTATACTCCATGGATGTCGTTGCCCTTCATCTCTTCCCTTGTCAGTCTGCATTCTCTGTTGTCACCACAGCCGCTACTACCACCATCACCCACCATCATCACCGTCATTGCCGGGACCAATACTAGCACAGCTCCTAACTATTTTCTACCATTTATATATTAATGACTTCACACATTAAATTCCGTATTTAAATTTGATTTTTCTTTTAGATTAGCCAAACAAGAAAATTCGTAAATTTTAAGAATTAAAAATTTTGTCAAATCAATTTCCATCCAATTTGGAGTGTTCCTTAATAATCTAATATCCGCATCCAAATACAGTAATAGTATTGAAATCGTCCATGATATTATATTCAATACAATCCGAACAGCTCTCTTGAGCTTATTAATTTTTTTAGGAGCCATTGCAGAGTTCCATCGAATTTTAAACATAAAAGGCCAAATGTTCAAATTTATTTGAAAACAATAAGCAGTCTCAGCACAGCAGATACAAGGGCTTTCTACAAAGACAAACTCCCGAAAGAATTGTGCAGTATCTCTCACCTTTTGGTTATCCTCTTTTATCTTTTTTCCTGCCATTTTGTTTAGCTAGTTTTTTTTTTTTTTTTGGGCTCCTCAGCAAGTCCAAGACGACGATCTCTTAATAACGGGCTTCATTTGCTTGTCCTCTTCGAGCGAAATCATCCCCAAGTGTGACGGATCCTCTAGCAACATCTTTGCAACCAGATATCCTGCTATCGACCATGTCTGGTACTTCCTTGCTTGTTTACCAATATATCTTCCGAGTTTCCCGTCATAATATTCTGGCCAAGCATCTTTTAGCAGACGACTCTCAGCAAGCTCAATTGCCCGTCTTGCGATTTGTGGTCTTCCCGTTTTAATGCACGCAGCAGTTAGCATCCATAGAAGCACTGCACACATGAGAGCGGAAACAAATCCAACAAAGAAACAAAGAGAGGTTGAGAAACATCGTACACAATTGTTTGGTGTAATAATATTATACAGAATCTTTCCAAACAACGGTCTCTGAATCAAAACACAACAATTTGATAATCCCATTAGGTTAACCGAATGTTTAAATGAATGCTAGGCAAGGGAATCGAATATCTCAGGCACGAAGCCTGCTTGGTTCATTTACAAAATTGAAAAAATAGATACCTGAGTGAAATATACAAATACAACCACTATTTTCACAACAATTTTCCGAAAAAACAAACTTGAAAAAAAAAAAAGAAATATCAAACTTACTTTCTCGGGATGAATATTCAGTTCAGAAAGTAAAGATTTGTAATGAAACAAAAGAAGGCTGCCATTTTATACTACTTGAACACTGTATTTAAAATGTGCTTTTCAAAGATCATCCACGCAGAGAACTCTTCCATTACGTAAAACATCCGTAGTGTTTCAGATGAATGAATGAATGCAGGGAACCTTCCATTCCTCAACAATGGAGTACGTGTAGTACTTCAGATGAATAAATCAAAACGCAGCATCCCAATATCCTTAATGTAAAAAGATGATAAGATGTACCCATGAAATAAGATGAAGGCACCCACCAAGGAAGAACACTTTTGGTCAAGTACAAAAATTAGGTGCATCAAGTTGAAGGGAAGGGAAATTTGACAGGGGTATTAGTAAAGAGAGGATGATTAGAAATAGTGTTAATCAATTATATGGTATCACAGTAGGACCGACTGACAGAACATTTACCATCACAACTATTTTTGAATTTTAACTGCAGCAATAACATAGAAACTTCCAAGTAGAGGGACAAACCTGGCCAAGATCCTCCATTATGGTAACTCCATCTGGTATTCTTGGGATCACAACCAGTTACGATTCGCCACTCATGACTTTCTATTGCTGGATAACATATTTTTAATGGCATTTCTCCAACCAACTCTTCCCAACGAGATTCAATGAGATCCATTATAGCCATTGATTGCTCTGGGGTTGCAAGAGAAGCTAGAATTGCAACACAGTTACCCAAAGCAAACCATCGAAAATCCATCCTTGCAGGACTCACATTGCCAATAAAGTAGCCACCACGGCATGGCATAAAATCAAATACCCAATCTGGGATGGAATCAGGAATGACATTGAACTTATTTACAGCCGTGTGTGAGTACTCTTCAGTCTTGTAACGGTATATGTCATTTAGTTGTTGGAAATCAAGCCAGAAGTAACCTCGCATGTGGTAACTTAAGGCATGCAAACGCTTAACAATTCGTTCTATGAATTCTTTTCCTTCTCCATCAGGTTTCAGCATTGACAAGGCACATCTCAATGCCATAAAGAACAAAGCTTGGATTTCAATAGGATAACCATAAATTCCCTGGATAACCATATAATGTGTAAAATAAGATACGATATTTTTTTTTGAAGTACCATAATATTGAAATAAAGCAATCAGGCAGACAAGAAAACTTGAAGTAAGCTATAAACCTTCATAAACGTGAAGACTAACAGACAAGAATTATCCTTTTTCGTTTTTTCTCTTACTAAAAATAAATAAAGGTCGTACCCAGTGCACAAGGCTCCCGCTTTACGCAGGGTCTGGGAGAGGTGAATGTCGGCTAGCCTTACCCCCATTTATGGAGAGGCTGCTCCCAATCTTACTAAAAATAAATAAATAAATAAAATCACTCATGAGCTTCTCAACCTTCATCTATTGGGACTACAAATCATATTCACTTTTATTATGGGTGGAATTTAGTGGGCTACCCATCCATACATGTCAGTGAATAAGGCATTAGACACTAACAATAGAACCACAAGAACATGACTTTTGACGCTTTAAATATTTACAAATTTCTTTCTATGCTTGCGAACTGATTAAAGCCACTTTTAATCAATGTCAATGCAGCTATCATTATTGTCTTCAAATAAAGAAAGCAAGAATATACTGCTAATAAATATGAGCCTAGGGACCCATAAATACGAGCCTAGCCACATTTAAACAGTGTATCATCTACTTGAAATTAAACCTAGCAAAGAAACCACAGTTGCAAACCTGTAATTTTATAATGGTTAGGGACAGAAAGACTAAAGCTTAATGACCTTATGATAGCCTTAAAGGACTTCCCAAGCTACTTCTCATGTCCATTGGTAATTAAGTTTCTTTTCAAAAGAAAAGATTCTTGTGAAAATGAAGTGCAACATACCATTCTACGATCAATCATGGAGCATCCATCAGCACAAAGCAATGTTGGGAACGTGTCAAAACCTTCTGACAGACATAGAGTCAATATAAGCCTCATTCCTTTTTGACAATCTTCTGTTTCCGCAAGAGATAAATCCCCAGTTGACTTTGTATATGCACGGAGCAGTATAATCCACCAAAAACCAGAGTCAACAGGAGCAACTCGTCCAATTGCACTCTCTCCGAAATCTGCAATGATTGTATCTGACTTTCGGATAGGGTCATGAAGAACTTTGAAGCTTGCTGGCATTGCACCTTCCCCAAGCTTGAACCTGTCTATTCTCTTTTCCCATCCTTGAAGCTGCAGGGTCTTCAAGAGGAAGTTTTAACTATCTCTGGCTCACCATTCATTAGGAAAGCCAGAGCACTTGGTACAAAATCTCGGACAAAAACCTAAACAAAATAACAATCATGTCAAGATTTAATGCTCATTTAACTGAACACTTCAAACTTATATGTTTTAGAGCTTTGTTTGCCTTTCCCCGAGGGTGTAATTCATTTTTTTGTCCAATCTTTTGCCAACATCAAAGAGAACAAGCGACATTTGCAGAATCAATAAGTTTCTCAGCGTCATCACCGCACGAGTCTAATTAGATATTTCTACTGATAGCAGATACTAAAAATGTCTATCAATATAGAGAGCGATCCAATTTTCCGCAAGTTGATTTGCTTGCCAAAATTATTAATCCAAAAACAGATAGATTATTGCATAATCTCACATAAATTGAAAATAAAAACAAAAGGCAGGCAAGGGTTGAAAATTGTGAAAAGTTGACCTGATCATAATTCAAAACTTCCTCAGAGGCATGATCGTATGCAGCAATAGTGCCCACAGGCTGGTTACGAAAGAAGACCAAAGAGCGGCGGAGAGCTTCCCATGCCTCGGCAACCATAGGGTGGGGCTCGAACGAGTTGCGAGTAGAAGAAGCAGGAGTGTCAAAACCAGACCTTCCACCGGGGGAGTAGGTGCTGTCCATGTTGTCCAAGCCGACTCTTGTGAGGCCAATGGAGAGCTCACTCAGTGACCTCTCATCAAAGGACCTCTGCCTCTCAATGTTGAGCCGGGGCTTGTCAAGAAGGCGTGAGAGGTCATAGTCATCCATGTCCGAAATGGAGCAATGCGAGCTCACATTTCGTAGCCCAAAGTTGGTCCCTTCCATTTCCTTTGTCTGTTTCTTCTTCTACTTCTTCTTCTTGTTCTTATTTCTTCCTCAACAATCGACTGAATCAAATCAAATCAAATCAAATGACTTACTTCACTCTCAGGTCTCAACAAATCTGAAAAATCTTTGTGTTTGTGTTGTGATCGACTCCTACCAAACCAATTTATATCTTATTAGAAAAACAACAACAATCAGACCTTATCTCACTAAGTGGGGTTGGCTTTATGAATCATAGAATGCCACTGCGCTCGGTTTTTAGGCCAAGTCTTCCGTTAGTTATATCTTATAAGAAAAAGCATACAATTTTCATGAAATCACCTAAAAATCTTTCAGAAATAAAAAAAAAAAAAACAAAAACACAGAGAAAGAAAGCAGCTCCAGTGAGTACTAATACGTAAAATATTATTAGAATAATTAATCATTTTTTTTTATAAAATGGATACAAAAATATGCAACAAAACAAAAAATTCCAGATTATATAAACATTCTCTAACCGATTAAATCATCACAGCAGAGAAAATTAAACAAATATAAGCTTCTTACAAAATAATAATAACAAATAATGGAAGATCAAGATCAACCAGAAACATCTAGCATTAACAAATCGACGAATTCGTATAAGAAAAACCAGATCTGAACCTTCTCAGCAAAAAAATGCAAATTAAGGAGAGACAGAGAGAGAGGGAGCTTATACCTCCGAGAGAGAGAAAGAAGTCGGCGGCGGCGGAGGAGTCTCCGTCAGTGTGATCGGGCGATCGCCGAGATTTCGCCGGGGACAGGTCGGAAAGATGACAAATTATTATTACTCCAGTATTATTGGACGAGAGGTGAAGGAGAAGGAGAAAAGAGAGAGAAAAAGAGAAAGTCGTTCCACTCCTCCAATTTATAGCGTGGGAGGATAGCCGAGCAGCAAGAGATGGATATCTCAGTTTTTTAACTTTTTCTTCTTTTTTTATTTTTTTGTTTTAATTTTACAGCGGAAAAAGGACAAAAGGAACCGGGAATGTAAGAGAGTACACCGGGAATAGCCGGTGAGAAAGCACGGGTGATTTGCCGACGTGGGGAAAACGACACCGTTGTAGCCCGTCAGTGTCTCTGTCTCTGACCCAGCTTTGGACTTTCCCCTGCCCGCACTCCGCAGGCACGCCCGCCATCAACTTGCATTATCCGTTGGTCTTCTTTCATTTAAAACATGCATACCAATTCCTTCCCCACTATTATTCATTGTGGTTAGGTAAGCTAATTAAATATTGAGAAATAATTTAATACATGTTGAATATGACGGAAAGAGATCATGTCCGGATCTCTCCTTCCAAAACTTAAGGATCAAGTGATCTGTACCTTTAAAAATTTAATCCAACGGCTAAAAATTATTATAATTTTTAAAAGTTTTTACGAACTTATCTGTTTGTAGTCGTTGGATCAAATTTTAAAGGCTCAGATCATTTGATCCCTAAGCTTTGGAGGGAGAGATCCGGAGAGGATCTCTTTCCGATTATGACAGCTTCAATAACTTACACAGTTCGGATGATACAATTTTTTTTTTGTCGAAAAATGACATTTATTAAGTGGAAGAAAGATTATAGGCCAACGCAAAGAAAGACAAAATAATCCAAATATGTTGAAAAATCTCAAATACAAAATAATCCAAAAACATTGGAAAAAAATTGGATGTAAGTTTTGGAAGGGAGCTGCAAAAGTCCATTGATGCTTGTCATGAGTGGAATTTATTTTGTACATAATTCATTGGTCACCGTTTATGGGAAATTCTGACTTCTCGACGTTGCTCGTCGCTAATCCGACAAAATGGCCACAAGTGATTTAGTTTCTTGGAATGCAATGATCTCTGGTTATGCCTCACAAAGGCATGTGGACGGACGCATTTGAGCTGTTACCATTGCTGGAAAGTGCTTAAGGACAGGTATTTTCAGGGGTGCACTTGAGTTGCTTTCTCAAACGAGAATTTGTGGTATTTTATTGAACTCGGTAGCATTGACGATTCGTTTGAGTGCTTGTTTGCACATTGGAGTCAATAAGTTAGGGAAGGCAATTCATGGTTTTGCGATTCGTAGTTGTTGTGATGGGTATGATAATGTTAACAGTGCGTTGATTACATTGTATTCCAAGTGCAAAGACCTTAGGAAAGCGTATACTTTGTTTGAATTGATAGAAGATAGCAATATAATTACTTGGAACTCCATGCTTTCTGGTTATTCCCGCATAGATCGAGCAGATGAAGCTTCATTCTTATTTAGGGAGATGTTGTATTCATGAATTCAACCTAACTATGTTACTATTGCTAGCATCATTCCCCTCTTTGCTCGGGTAGCAAATCTTCAACACGGGAATGAGTTCCACTGCTACATTACAAAGCGTGTAGCATTTGATGATTGTTTATTACTGTAGAGTGCCCTTGTGGACATGTATGCCAGATCGGGTAGGTTTTTATAGGCTAAAAGTGTATTTGATTCAATGTCAAAAAGAGATGGGCTCAAAAAAGGGAAATAGATAGGGCCCCGTAAGTTTTTAGTTCATTGCAGGGGAATTAACACAAAAGGGACAGAGGAATTCTCAACGAAAAAAGTGCTATCTGAACTGAACGCGAAAATCGTTTTCCATCAGACAGTTGTTTTCTCATAACTCCACTTTCGACTTGGATTATATATCCAAAAAGGTCTGTCTCCTAAAAACATTATTCTAGAATAAATAGGCAATAATTAGGAGAGGTGCGCTAGCAGCAAGCAGAAGCAAGGTTATTAGATACCTCAGGTAGAAGATATCGATTTTTTTCTAGATTAGAATTTTTAAAAGAGGTTTATGGAATTCTATGGGTTCTTGTTCCTATTTTGACTCTTGTAATGGGAATCAAAATAGGCATACTGGTAATTGTATGGTTAGAAAGAGAAATATCGGCAAGGATACGACAACGTATTGTGCAACGGGGACGAATGCTAGGTTAGAATCCGATACTAAACTTTTAAAGGAAATCATGGTGGCACACGAATCACCTTATCTTGATACCATTGCAAGTGTAAAGACCAATCCGCATGATAGGTCCCCGTACGTCTTGACACAAGGTTAGAATTCTAGCTCTTCCAGAGTGGTATCTCATGGAGGGCTCGTACCCCCTGGCGAATGGGGCCTTCTTTGCCTTCCAACTAAGCTGCACATGAAAGGCCTAAAGCCAATCCCAGGGAACAATGAGCTTCACAGGGTATGCATGCGAAGACCATTTCTAGTCTATCCGTGTTAATGAAATCCATCCCGTGAAACACCGACTAGCCTTCCAAGCTAACTATGCGGGTTCGATTCTCGCTACCCGCTTTTACTTCATTTTTTTTATTAAATTAATAAGAAATAAGAAAAAATATAATTAAATATATCGAGATTTTTATTATTTAAAAAATTGTGAATATAAATTAATGTAATGCATCATTCATTGAGCATTTTCTCCTTGGCAAAGAGAAATTTTACCATTTCCACTATATATCGGCATTATATATATTTTATTATATTTATAATATTTATTTAATATTTTATAATTATATTTATTTTATTATAATAATAAATAAATTGTAAATGTAAACCGCAAAACCGGAAGGGTCTTTGAACAACGTAAATCCGACCGACCTGAATCTGCATGAAATGAATGTAACAACAAGATGTATCGTGGTTCACCCTAGGGTTTGGGGCTACGTCCACATATGAAGGATTGTGAATGAGAGAGGATTTCTATGAGAGAGATCTATAATGAGAGAGGAATGTAATGAGGGGATGTGAGGGGAGGGGGGCTTCAAGCTTAGGAGTTGGCATCTTCTAATTGTGAGAGTGATGGGTCATTTTATAGAATAAGGGTTCCTCACTTATTACATATTTGCCCATCCATTTATTACATAATTACATTTAAGTCCCCGAGTATTTATACGAGACCTAAATACGGAAGCCCTAAGTATGGTACAAACAGTAGCCCCCTAAGTCTTCAGTCAAGAGAGTCTTTTGGCTGGAGACTTGAAATTCAGTCCATGTGTGGGCCGAAGTAACTAGATGTCGTCTAAAACTGATGCTCGATATGAGGCGGTGCCCAATCTGAAATGATGCTCAACTAGAAGTAGCACATGTTATGAGGCTGCTCTGCTTGTGGCTTATGTTGCCTTGGTTGGCTCAGCTTGTGGCGTTTGAAGGTGAGGGAGTCCCTTTTATAGAATAAGGGCTCGCTCCTCAATACATAAATATGGGCTAGAGTTGATGCTCGCGGCGAGGCGATTGCTCAGTAGGTGGTGATGCTCTCTAATGATGGTGATGGAGTCCCTTTTATATAATAATGGCTCGCTCCTTAATACATGAATAACGGGCTAGAGTTGATGCTCTCTAATTATGGTGAGGGAGTCATTTTTATAGAATAAGGGCTCGCTCCTCAATACATAAGTGATTGGTGCTTTCTAATGAAAGTGAGGGAGTCCCTTTTATAGAATAAGGACTCATTCCTCAGTACATAAATAATGAGCCAAGTCCCCCAAGTATTTTTCATGAAGCCCAGTTGAGGCCCAATATATGGTACATAATGTAGTCCCCCAAGTCTTCGGTCAATAGAGTCTGTTGGCTGGAGATTTCAAATTGAATCCATGTATGGGCCGAAGTGGCGGTTGTTCGGAGGTAGTATTTGTATACCCTGTACTGAAGCTTTGTAGGTGAAGCTTTGTAAGTGAAGCTTTGAAGCTGGAGCTTTTGTAAATGAAGCTTTTGAAGTTAGAGCTCTGTAAATGAAGCTTTTGAAGCTAGAACTTTTGTAAATTAAGCTTTTGAAGCTAGAGCTCTGTAAATTAAGCTTTTGAAGCTAAAGCTCTGTAAATAAAGTTTTTGAAGCTAAAGCTCTGTAAATTAAGCTTTTGAAGCTAGAGCTTTTGTAAATGAAGCTTTTGAAGCTAGAGCTCTGTAAATGAAGCTTGAGCTCTGTAAATGAAGCTTTTGAAGCTGGAGCTCTGTAAATGAAGCTTTTGAAGCTGGAGCTCTGTAAATGAAGCTTTTAAAGCTAGAGCTTTTGTAAATGAAGCTTTTGAAGCTGATTAACATGAGTGATGCTCATGGATGTTGACATGGGTGATGCTCATGAATGTTTATATATGATTGAATGAGTGATGCTCATGAATGTTTATGTATGATTGATATGAGTAATGGTCATGTATAATTTGAAGTACTGGGCGTACTTTTGATCACCTGGTTGGTGGTAATAGCGGCAGGTTGCCGAATAATTTTAGAGTACTAGGCGTACTTTTGATCACTTGGTTGGTGCTATTTTGGGCTTATGGGCCTTCACCCTCCACACAACATTCCAGCCCATTTATTTTGGGCTTTGCCGTTTTTTATTTTTTTATTTTTATTTTTTTTATTTTTACCCTTTAATGGGGTTTATACAGATATCTCCGAAAGATATGAAAAATAAATTACATCATTCAAAAATAAAGAAAGTAAAATACATCATTCTGGTAGGGTGTTTATTCATTGCTTTTGCTTGTGTTTTTCTGCTGCACTCTCTCTGTCTCTTCACCTGGCAGACAAAAGGAATCATAATAATAGGAAATTTTTTTGCTTTTCTTCTTTTCTCTTTTCCTTTTTTCTTTTCACTTTTGCTTTGCTCTTTTCTTTTTCTCTTTTTCTGAAATATTCTTTAGTAACATCATCTTTTTCTTTTTCTATTCTGTTTCCACTGCCTTTAGACCCATGGAGAGACAAAAGAGACAGAAAAGCTGAAGCTCTCCGCATGATCCTGGAATTTTGAACCAAAGCACTTTGCCCAACCATTTTCTTTGCTGCTTTTCTCAGTTTTTTTATGATGATGATGTCGGCAAAACCTCAGTCCCTCAACACCTACAGATTCCCCAAAAACAGC